ACTACTACTACTACTACCTACCTNAGTCCATTTTAAATAATAATTGTTATGTTTTTTTTTTACTAAGCTGACATTAAGTACTGTTAATATCTATAAAGAAAATGCAGAGGTTTTTAATTTCACTGCTCTTTTAGCTGACATTTAACAAATGCAGGTAGATTTTTAGCTGCTATTCATACTAAATCAGTTGTCCCTCCCGCTGGTGCCAGGTCCAACAGATCCATCTCTAGGCTCAGCAGCCCTGTCCCCCCATAAGGCTGAACCTGAACCTTTTCTCCCAACTGAAGGAGGTGAGCAGCATTGTGTTGAATGCCACTTAACATATCTGAAGGAAGACTGGAATATATGTCAGATTCCTGTGTCTTACGTGGAGAAACGTGTGCAGTGGTTTGCAAAAAGTGCCATGTTGATTTGCAAATTGTGTGAAAAGCTGAAAAAGTGTTTAGAGTTTTGGAGATTTGAGCCGATGTTTTGCTCTTTGAGTGTCAGTTAAAATAATTGTGCTTTATGTATAATTTTAGTGTGTTAGCAATCGAGAAAAACTGTAAACTGCCTTCTCAAACCCAAATACTAAATTCCACATATGTTCGTCTCTGCAATACCTTTATCTAAAGTCAATATAATGGAGAGGGCATTGTATAAAACTGTCACTGAAACCCACTTTAATGGCAATGATTAAGTGTCAGCAGGTATTACTCAATCCAAATGTAATAAAAAGACAGGTCAAATCTGATGTGAAAAATAAGCAAAGATCAGCTAGAGCAAGTAACCTTTTAGCGTGAAGGTTACTTATTTAAAATGTGGAGGTTGTTGAGGTTGTCACAGCCGTGTGGTTATTACATTACATGTTACTTGTTAGACCCTTTTATCCAAAGCGACTTACATACTCAATACTGTGGACAATCCCCACAGGAGCAATTTGGGTTGAAGTGTCTTGCCCAGGGACACAACGGCATGCTGACTCTATCTAAGGCTCTATCCACTGCGCCACAAGCCTCCCTATGGTTATTTTAAATTATTGACCCCGTTCGGCCAATCAGAGTTGAATACTCTTTAAACCGTGGTCGTGAATTGGTCTTAATCTTTCTGAATACAAACCAGCTCTTTGAAGATGATCTATAAGGTCTGTAAATTATCTAATTCTGACCTGAATCTCACTGTATTAACAGCTTTGTTAGCGTTGCAGCTGTACCTTCTCTGTCACTTGAATCAGGGCCAAAGTCAGAGGAGCCCACGTTAGTTTCTCACAGTTGCCGCGGGGAAAGTCACCTGATGCCCAGCGACGCTCGAGATTAGAGGCTCTCTGGTCATAAAACGGCCCATAAACACAGAAACAATCAAGGGAGGAACAGGCGTGGGAGTGAGTGTGTGTGTGTGTGTGTGTGTGTGTGTGTGTGTGTGTGCAGAGAATGTTTGTATGCGTTTGTGAAGGCCAGGTGGAGCATAATTGCCCACCTCCCTGCCTGAAATTCACTAAAGCTAAACGTTAACTCTGAGCTGAGCCAAACCTTCTTTATTAACAAGGAACATTGCACCTCTATCCAGTTAATGAAATATTGATTTGGAAATTGTATTGTAAGGCGACGGAAAGCTTTTAAAGTGCTTAGCGCCTTTGCTCAGAGCCAACTTCATCAATTATGTTTTTTGATGGTATTATTGGAAAAGGTTCCTAAATCAGAGAGCATTTTCCCCCAGGTTTGGCGTGCACTGTGTCCGTGATTAGCGTCATATTCTGTTCAGAGGTAAGTCGGGGCCCGAATGGCTACATGTTTTTTTAATGAAAGATGTTGGCATCAAACTGAGTTTCATAATGACGACGACAGTGGGACAGAGCTGATTTAATGATGTGTTTGTTCCTATTCCAGTCAAGCTGTTGAAAATACAAAAAAAAAAGGGAATTAGTAACATTTCCAAATGTAGTTCACAATTAGCAGGTCAGTATAATGGGATTGTGTGTCTCTGGTGTCCAGACTGGGCCAATTCTGAAAACCTCATGAATCAAATATGTCAGAATGTTGCATGTGTCTGCACTGTAGTATCCATCTGTACAGTATAGATAAGAAACTAATCCAAGCCAAATGGAAACCACTTCCTGCCTGAATTTGGTTATTGTGGTATCTGTGTTGAACAGCAGACTTTGTTGGACCTCATGACTCAAACTGTGAGATAAAACTAAATGTCACTGCAGGAGATAAAAAGCCAAAAATCGTTACAACACAACAAACACAATGCTTCAGTACTGCACTAAAATTGTTTGTTTTCACATCCATTGTACTAGAGTGGTGGCAGAAGTAGACACAGGTCACAAATGTGTCACATACAAACTATATAGGTGGTTACATACCACAAGAAGGTTAAATGACCGAAAAAACCAAAATGCTTCAACTGACAGCAGATGAAAACAGACACATACCCATCTTGATGAGCACCTGTATTAATAAATGTAGTATATATGTTTTATTCCACACATATATTTGGTGGTTTGAAACATTATTGTGCACCTGAACTGTGAGGATGCCTGTTGTATACAGATACTCTGAATGATCATATATATACAATAAAACTTGGATATTTGATTATTTGAATATTGCAGCATTAACTGATGGGTTATTACAGACAACATCATGTAGTATAAACATCATTACACCATATTGAAACAAACATAACCAAACTAATACCTATATGTATTATATCTATCTTGAAAAGCAGTAATGATATCAGTAATAAACCAAATGTTTAAAAAAATTGCAGTACATCAGTTGTTCAATCTGTTCATACATTGGGTGAGTTTTGTCTTTCAAAATATTCTGGGCCTCTGTTAGGAACATGTTAGGAAAACCATTACTTAATATATTACACATGCATCACAAAGAACCATTAGCTTGTATAATGAGTTATGTTTCTGGCGACCAAACAAATGTAGGCCCAGGATTTAGAATCTTTGCCTTGGGGAAAACATCTGACTAGCAGCCTAATGCTCAACATTGTTTGCCAGCTATTCACTAACTGTCTCCTTAATGTCAGCCAAAACCGATTCTGAATGGATGTAGGAAACACCCTCATAGCAATCTTTCCACACATTGACATAATTCATTATGTAGAAACAGGCTGAAACAAGTGCTGCATTTTATTTTGTATTTCTCTTTGAATTAGAGTCACCAATGGCCTAATAAAGTTTCTTTCATTCACCATTATTATTATTTTTTTTAAATATAGCTGAATTGTGCTTTGTATACATGACCAAAGGGGGTACATGGTGGGGAATGGGCAGTTTTCCATGCATTGGCTGAGCTTTAGCGACCCTGGGCACCAACATTTGGATTAGCAGCAGGTCATCATGGTTTATTACACAAAGTCCATCAGACAGCACTACGGAAAGCACCTCTAACACTTCACTCTGCTCAACCACCGCTTCCCTCGATTAAAATGCACAACTCTGTTCACACTCCAGTACAGTTAGCCTTTGTTCCACTTCATGCCTCAGCAGCCCTCCACCATTTATTTTCCATCGCAATAAAAGCTTTAACCAGATTTTGTCCGCACAGAGCAATTCATTTATTCATTGACACACAACAAACCAAAGTCAGGATCACAAACAGAAGAAAACATTTTGGCGTTGAATACTTATTGATGCGATACTGCTGGAAAACTTCTCAAATACAGCATCACAAGAACTCACACATTTTCTTTGTAATGTTCCGTCTTTTTGCACCTGTTCCAAGCACTTAAAGCTGTAAAGGCTACATTTTTCATATTGCAAAAACATTCTGTAGTGTGGCACCAGACATATCAGTCTTTTTTAAAAGCTGTAACATACCTGGAGTTTGATATCCACAAACATGCAAATGAGTATCCACAACTTAACCGGTTAGTACAAATAAATGATTGTTTGAAGTGAAAAATAAATTCAGATAACTTGAGGCTAAGGCTGTTCTTCTGTGGCCAAGAAGCATGGTATATGTTGTACTAATGGCTTAAATAGCTTCCACTGTGTTCTAGTGTCTAAGAATGTAATGTGATTACCTAGCCTTTTTTATTTAGAATGCTGATGCACAGTGTCTTACTGTCCAAAGCATTAGAATGTATTGACAAAGGACACCATGTTTAATATGTCAACTTCCAGTATTCCTCCTTTTTTCCTAATTTCGTTATAATAACAATTTAAAGGACTTCAGACTGACTTGAAAGGGAAAATATATCACGATTATTATTACGGTTATAATATAGTGTATATGGAACTGTTAAGACTGTTGCTTTTAAGGACGCTCCAACATCTTATAGAGGAACCAGATAAGAATTTCCACCAACATAGCTGGAGATTGTTCAGTTTTTCAGGTTTTGTCCATCCAGATTGAGAAGTGAAGAAAGAATGTGCATACTTTTACCACTTCTGCTGTCATTGTGGGTGGGGAGAGAATGAGTGTTCCCCTACAAGACCACCACTCATCGACTGGATGTACACAAGGGCCCGACGCAGGACCAGATGTTGTTGTGTTGCTGCC